CCTCTCCTGGGGGCCTCTGATGCACTTCTCTGGAGCCCTGTGTTCACCTGGAGTCCTTGCTCTGTGGCCACAGGGAGGGTTGCTCCAGTGCCAGCAGGCTCTGGTCCCCCAAGCTTGGGAGGAGGGACGGGCTCAGCGGCTTTTGGCGAGGGCACTCAGGGTTCTCTCAGCGGGAGTGGGCTGGGCGTGGAAGGGTGGCCGGTACAGGGGTTGCCCGCCACCTCGCCCAATGGACACCCGCTGAGCTTCCTGGAAACCCAGGCCTGAGCCCCGGTCAGGGATTGCAGCTTCTCCTCCCTCCCACCTCTCTCCTCCTCCTCCTCAGCTCCTGGGGGCTCTGGGTCCAGCGGCCTGGAGGCAGGCAGGACCTGGCTCATGTGACTGAAACCACAAGACCAACCTTCCATTGCAGCCGCTGACCCAGAATCCCAGGACTGCCAGGACTGGAGGCCCAGAGGCAGTGGTGTGGGGCCCAAGGAGGGGGCAGGCCGGACCCACCCCCCAAGCAGATCTCTAAGCAGGACGTGGGCAAGGAAGGGTGTGGAAGGGAAGCTGGGGTCCCTGCAGTGCCACGCCAGGCCCCAGGGCCCCTCTGTCCCAGGCCCTCGTCGGGCAGATCTGGGTAGCATGGACCGTCACAGCAGGCCAGGATGGTGAAGGAACGAAATTTCACCCTGAAATATGTATGACCAAAAAAGCCAAGCTCTAAAATGTTTAAAGAGGTTTATTCTGAGCCTAAAGCAGGGACCACGGCCCGAGGCACAGTCTCACTGTGTCCCGAGCACATGTGTCCCTGGCGGCTGGGTGACAGCTTGGTTTTATGGAGACATAGACCTCAATTAGTGCACGTGAGCTGTGCATTGCTCAGGTTCAGGAAGGGGGTGGAGGCTGACAGGTCCTGGGTGGGGTGCCTGTGGGTCCTGGGTGGGGGGCTGTAGGGTCCTAGGTAGGAGAGCTTACGAGTCCTAGGTGGGGGGCTTATGAGTCCTGGGTGAGGGCCTTACAGGTCCTGGTTGGGGTCCTAGGTGGATTGTGGATTCAAAGATCTTCTGATTGGCAGTTGGTTGAAAGAGTTAGGCTGTTATCTAAAGATGAGTGGGAAGGGGCATCTGGTTAAGCTAAGGGGTTGTGGGGACCAGGTCCTACTGTGGAGATGAAGTCCATGGGCAGCTGCCATAGACAGTACGTGGCCAGGTTTCCTGTGTAGACCTTTGAGAGGTCTGGACTCTCAGCTAACTCTTCAGGATTGGGAGGGCCCGGGAGGGGAAAGGGCTAGTTATGTTATAGCAAAGACTCCTCACAGACAGAAGCTTTCCCCACAAAGGACGGCGTTGCAGGGTCTTTTCAGAATACGGCAAACAAATGTATTCGGGGGTAGAATAATTTTCTTCCTTATTTGCCACGTGATGTTATTATGCCAGAGTCAGGCTGGCATGCGGGATCTTACAGTCTGGTTTTGGTTTTGGGTTTTGTTTTTGAGACAGGGTCTCCCTCTCCATCCCAGCTGGAGTTCAGCAGCTGGAATCACAGCTCAGTGCAGCCTGGGCCTGCTGGGTGCATGCCACCACGCCTGGCTAATTTTTTTTTTTTTTTTTTTGAGAGATAAACTCTCATTATGTTGCCCAGGCTGGTCTTGAACTCCTGAGCTCAGGAGATCCTCTGGCCTCAGCCTCCCAAAGTGCTGGGTTCTAGGCGTGAGCCACTGTGCCTGGCCCATTTTGTCAGGCTTAAGAGCCCGATTTTAATGCCAATCCTGGTCATTTGTGCCTGAACTCCAAAGGAGGAGTGTCTTACGAGGCCTGCCTGGCCCCCACCTTCCTGTCATGGCCTGGACTAGTCTTTCAGGTTTCTTTGAGGACCCTTGGCCAAGAGGAAGGTCCATTCCATCACTTGGGGGCTTGGAGTTTTATTTTTGGCTTGCATATGGTGCCCTGGCACATGCTCTCTGCTTTCAATCAGCAGCCACTGAAGGGGAGCAGATGCTGGAAGGGGCTCTGCTATGATTTTAGGGCCAGTCCCAACAAGGAGACGCAGAGTCGCCTTCCACCGCTTCCCTGAAATCTCAGGAAAGGCGCCGGCAGCAACACAGCCTCACCTGGACAGACCCATCCCCGAGACGATGTCTCCTCTAGAGACAGTCCTGGATGGATCTGCCCCCGTCCCCGAGACGACGTCTCCTCTAGAGATGGTCCTGGACAGACCCGTCCCCATCCTGGAGACGATGTCTCCTCTAAAGCTCCTCTCAACAGACCCAAACCAGAAACAACATCCACCTCCAGAGTTGGTTCACGTTGCCAAGGGAATCATTTACAAGTCAATTCCTATCTCTGGAGTCCCTCTGTTCTCCCTGATGATCATTCATGCCCCATCACAAGAGCCGCTCTGGCTCCCCCTCCCCGTCCCTGATGAAGAAGGCACAGAAGCCCCGCCTCCCGTCAGGTTCTGTGGCCCCGGCCCCACCCCGTGGCGGGGGAAGTGAACCCTCTCCCGCAGTGGCCGCCGCTGCTCCCTGGACGGGCTTCCTGGGCCTGCGTCTCGCTCTTGGCCAACTCATCATGCCCCTACCTGAGCCTCTGACATAAGCTCTGTGCCCATCTCAAAGGCTGACTGAGGGGACCCAGTGAGGGAATGTGGCCATGGCTTTAGCACAGGAGTAGGCACACTGTCCCGGTGGGGCCCTCCCATGGAATCCCAAAGCCAGCCGGCATGTCTGCAGGGAACCTCTCTTCCCTCCCAGCCCCACGCGTCTCTGGTAACCGTGATTGGTTTGCTGCTGACGCTCCCTCACGGCAAGTCCATCTGCTGAGACGCTGGGTTGCAGCAGAGAAAGGGTTAATCACAGGGTCCCTGAAGGAGCCCAGCGAACCTCAAACCATTCTCCAGAGGAATGTGGGGCGAGGGTTTGTTACTGTTGTTTGGTGTTTGCTTGTTTTGAGGCAGGGTTCCAGGCTGGAGTTCAAGGGCACCATAGTAGGGAAACGGGAACAATTCTCCTGTCCTCCTTGCAGGGCATGCGGCGGGGGACTGGCCGGCTTCTTCGGTGCCCCCCAGCCATGCTTCCAGGAGGATGGTTTCCACCGTGGCTAACCCTCTCCTGCCCGCCTGCGCTCCCGTGGACTGTTTCCACCGTGGCTAACCCTCTCCTGCCCGCCTGCGCTCCCGTGGACTGTTTCCACCGTGGCTAACCCTCTCCTGCCCGCCTGCGCTCCCGTGGACTGTTTTCACTGTGGCTAACCCTCTCCTGCCCGCCTGCGCTCCCGTGGACTGTTTCCACTGTGGCTAACCCTCTCCTGCCCGCCTGCGCTCCTGTGGACTGTTTCTGTCGTGGCTAACCCTCTCCTGCCCGCCTGCGCTCCCGTGGATGGTTTCCACCGTGGCTAACCCTCTCCTGCCCGCCTGTGCTCCCGTGGACGGTTTCCACGTGGCTAACCCTCTCCTGCCCGCCTGCGCTCCCGTGGATGGTTTCCACGTGGCTAACCCTCTCCTGCCCGCCTGCGCTCCCGTGGATGGTTTCCATCATGGCTAACCCTCTCCTGCCCGCCTGCAGTCCCTGCAGTAACCAGCGGCCCCACAGTTTGTGACTCCTCTTGATTCCTCACACTCTGTGACCTTGCACGCCCCCATCCTGGAGGGAGCAGCAGCGGAGAGTGGCTGAAGGATGACAGGGGGCTTTTAGGGCCAGCTGGGTGGATGAGCTGGGTCTGTCGGGCTTGAGGGTTCAGTAGGGCTGAGTAGGGGGTTGGGGGTGGCGAGGCCTGGGCCCATCCAGCTGTCCTCTCTGTCCCGCCCGGGTGTCCCTGGGGTTCCTGTTCCGCCCCTGGGCTTCTCTGGGGTCAAGTCCCCCTCCCTGCTCCCTCACTGGGAGTTGGGCAGCATGGCACAGCTGTGGAGCTTGGACTGGCAGTCGGAGTCACAGCCAACGTCCAATCCCAGTGCCCACACTGACGCACCTCTCTTGGGGACATCAGAGCCTCTCTCCTGGCTACTTGGGGAAGCTGGTACAGAGGGAACTGGAGAGAGATGGGAGAAGTGGAGGGAGATGGCGGGAAGAAGGGGGAGGTGGGGAAGTGGAGAGAGATGGGGGAAGTGGAGGGAGATGGCGGGAAGAAGGGGGAGGTGGGGAACTGGAGAGAGATGGGAGAAGTGGAGGGAGATGGCGGGAAGAAGGGGGAGGTGGGGAAGTGGAGAGAGATGGGGGAAGTGGGGGGAGGTGGGGGAGGGAGGGGAAGGGGCAGGGGAGGGGAGAACAACTCGGGCCCTTTTGTCTCTAATCTTCATGGCCTGAGGAAAAGAGCTGCTCCCAGACCTGTGGAGGCCCCGTGGGACAGAGGGATGTTTCAGAGAACACCCAGGTAACCTGCCTCCCGCCCCAGCCCCGAATGACACAGCACTAGGCCCTGTGCATCCAGAGTCACGCTGCAGGGTGGGGGCTCACAGCCCTGCCTGGGCGGCACAGTCCCCCCGAAGGTGGGGGCTCACGGCCCTGCCTGGGCGGCACAGTCCCCCCGAAGGTGGGGACTCACGGCCCTGCCTGGGTGGCACAGTCTCCCCGTTCTTACTTGAACCTTCTCTGCTTCCAGACGCTGCCCTGGGCGCCTGACCCCAGAGCCATCATCTTGGCTCCCCAGCCCCTCCCCCACAGTCCCGGGACAGGCACCAGCCTGGGGAGGGGTCTCCATGCTCAGTTCCCTCCCCTCTGGCTCAGAGAGACACTGCCTGCCCACGTGTGGTGAGCGGGATCTGAGACCCTGCCAGGGGCCCCATGACACGCCCCGATGCACAGAGCATGTGACCCCAGAGGCCACCCTGGGCTTTTCCAGAAAGCGGCCAGCCCCAGGATATTCCCCGCCCAGGGTGTCTGGTGGCAAGACTGTGCCTATCCCTGCTGTCCCTGGGTGGGCGCGGGGGTCAGGAGCTGCAGAAGGGCAGCCCCGCATACTCTGGGACTGGCGGTTGGCCCCATTACTGCTGCAGACCTGGCCAGGGCCGCCACCCCCTCCATGGGGCCTGAAGACAGTGCCAGGTGCCTGCACCGTGGGCTGGAGCCCAGCCCCGAGGAGCACCGTGAGCCCCGCACTCTGTGCTGCGCTGTCCTGGGCCTGGACACCTGCGGAGCCTGGGACCACGTGGACGGGCAGATCCTGGGCCAGCTGCGGCCCCTGACAGAGGGGGAGGAGGAGGAGGGCGCTGGGGCCACCTCGCCCAGGGGGCCTGCCTTCCCCGGCATGGGCTCTGAGGAGCTGCGTCTGGCCTCCTTCTACGGCTGGCCGCCGACCGCTGGGGTGCCGCCCGAGCTGCTGGCCGCCGCCGGCTTCTTCCACACAGGTCAGTCCTGGGGTACGGGGCCTTCCTGCCGAGGGCCTGGACAAGATTCTGGACCCTTCCAGCCCAGGGCTCTGCCTCCTCCATAGCACCCACACCCCAATGGGAAGGGTCCGGCCTGATGACCGAACGGTCTTGTAAACCCCTTCAGGGGCCACGTCCTGGTGCCTGACACTTTCCCCTGGAGTCTCTGCTGGCCGAGCTGTCAGACTGTGGGACAGGAGGAGAGGCTGCCTCTGGCCGCAGTCTGGGGGTCTCAGCTGTGGAGGCCGCTACCTGGGCGTGCAAGTCCCCCTTTGTGATAGAAGTGGGTGCGGCTGACACTGCCTGGGGCCCTCACCTTCCCCCCCACTGCTGGTCTGCACGGGGTGAGATGTTGAAGGAACAGATCGGGGTGACCGAGGCAGGCAGTGGTCAGCTTCGCGGTCCCGGCCGTTCAGTCTGTGGGGAACTTCCCCAGGCCCCCGCCCACAGCCACTGTCCCCGACTGAGCCAAGCCCCGGACGCCCTATCTTAGCCTTGGCCTGGGCCTGCTCCTCGGCCCTGCAGCTGGGATCACGTGGTCAGACCTGAGTTCAGATCCCAGCTCTGCCCCTTCCTGGCCGAGGGACAGGGCAGCAGGGCTTTAAAGTCCTGGCACAGCATTGGTCATCGCCAGCAGCGGGCTCTGGGGGGCACCGTCCTGGGAAGGCCAGACCAATGTGAGACAGCTGGGGTGGGGACCTTGTCTGGGACAGTCAGGAGCCTGAGCGTGAAGGGGCTGGCCCAGCTCACTCACCCCCCTGGAGGTCCGGGGCTCAGCAGGCGAAGGCTGGGCCTCTTCGGGGCTCCTAGAGGCCCAGTGCTTGCTGCAGCCCAGATCTGTGATGGCAGTGCCAGGTGACGTACCCCACGTCTGCCATGAGGGGATGGAGCCACCAGAAGGTAGAGCAGTGAGGGGTCCTCTGCCCCCAAAGGAAGGCATGAGTTCCTAAAACCAAGCCTGGTGCCAGACTGGCCTTCTAGGGTAGCCGCCCCTCTTCTGCTCACTGGGGATCCATTCTGGGAAGCAGAGACCTGGGGAGGGGCCCTTCTGACTCCTGGAGCCCCAGGGCAGATATGCCAGGCTGGGGGGCCCCCACCGCTCACTCTGTGGACGATGCAAATGCCAGTTCAGTCCTTTCCTGAACCTTCTCACCCGTCCTGCCCGGCACCCAGACACCCTTGTCTCCTTCACCTTTGATGCAAATGACATGCATGTGACATCACCTGCCCAGCCCCCTGCCCACCCCCTCCTCCCTGTTACCACCTGGGAACTCCCCACCCCTCCAGCCCAAGCTCTCCCAGCCTTGGAAGGATGCAGCGGGGGCCCTGGGGCTGGGTGGGGCCGGGCTGGTGCCAGCATCTCTGCCACACCCCAGGCCAGCAGGACCAGGTGAGATGCTTCTTCTGCTACGGGGGCCTGCAGAGCTGGAAGCGCGGGGACGACCCCTGGACAGAGCATGCCAGATGGTTCCCCAGGTACCGGCTGCCCCTGGCGCCCTAGATCTGATCACGGGTCAGGGTGGGCCCCGAAGCGCTCTGTCAACCCAACCCCAGGCCTGCTTTGCCTCCCCGGCCCCACAGGGCACTGGGAAGGCCCCTCTGTGGATGGTGCTTCTGCCCGGCAGGTACCCACTTTTCCTGTGAGGGCCCCTTCTGGGAAGGGCTGCTGGGGCAGAAATTCCTTTCCCACGGAAATACCCTGAAGGCCCATGAGGCTGCCTCCAGAGCAGCCTCCCAGCCCACGCCCACACCACGCCCACAGCCACCGCAGGGCATGCCCCAGGGGCTCCAAGGGCTGAAGGCCACAGCGAAGGCTCGGAGCCCCAACCTGCATCTGGGGGCATCTGCAGGTGTCAGTTCCTGCTCCGGTCTAAAGGGAGAGACTTTGTCCACAGTGTGCAGGAGGCTCACTCCCAGCTGCTGGGCTCCTGGGTAAGTGCCACCTGTCCTCGGGGCTCCGGGTGGCAATGGGGTCTGGCCCCTCCTGTTTCCCCAAGGCACCAACATTCTCTGGCTCCTTCCAGAACCCGTGGGAAGAACCAGAAAACTCAGCCCCGTGACCCCCTCAGGTGAGAGCCGACACCACCCTGGCTGCCTCCTCGGGCGCCCGCAGCCTGTGCTCAGCCAAGGCTACTGGGCGTCCCCACCCTGCCGGGCAGCAAGGACAATGATGGGCATGTGACCGGGTGTGAGGTGCTGTCATGGGGGCTGTGCCCTGAGGACGGCGATGGGGCAGCAGGGGCCTCCTGACAATGCCAGGCCCGAACTCTGCTTCCCCCCAGCTCACCCCTTGGCACAGCCCACTGCCTCCTGCCACGCCACCCCCCGCCACACCATGCCACCCTTGCCATGCCACCCCCGCCACGCCACCCCCAACAGTGCCCAGCACACAGTGGCCGCAGCCACTGCCAGAGGGGCTGGATGTGCAGAGAGCCTTGGACAAAGGGCAGTTTCTCTGGCGGCCCCTCCAGGAAGCCTCTGGATTCTGCTCTGCTGTGGGAGGGGTGGGAAGTGGTGTGGGAGCAGGGGTGCTCTGAAGCCCCTCTGCTCCCGGCCAGAACTGGACCCCACAGGCTGTGGGTCTGTCTCTGAGCCAGCCCGGCTTTCCCCTTGGGAGCAAGGCCTCAAATCCATGCTAACTGTATACAGCCCCTGCCCCCGGAGACCCAGAGCTGCCCATGCCCGGAAGAGAAGTCCAGTCTGAAGGCGCCCAGGAGCCAGGTACAGGCCCAGGAGCCCCCAGGGTGGGGCTGGGCCTGGGGAGGGTCGATGGCGCCTGGGGTGCTGGCTGACGCTCACCTTCCACGGCCCAGAGAGGGTGGGGCTGTGGCAAGGGGACATTCGCAGGTCTTTCTCCCAGGAGGAGCCAGTCCAGCCCCGGCCCGGCGGGCGTGGTGGGTCCTAGAGCCCCCGGGGACCGGGGACATGGAGGAGCAGCTGCGGCGGCTGCAGGAGGAGAGGACGTGCAAGGTGTGCCTGGACCACGCCGTGGCCATCGTCTTCGTGCCCTGCGGCCACCTGGTCTGTGCCGAGTGCGCCCCCAGCCTGCAGCTGTGCCCCATCTGCCGGGCGCCCGTCCGAAGCCGCGTCCGCACCTTCCTGTCCTAGGCCGGGTGAGCACCTGGTGCCCACGCAGCCAGCCCTCCTGTGGAGCGGCCCCGCCCTGCCCGGACCCGTGCGGACCCTTCCCGGGCGGCGGGACAGCTGGTCCTTCCCCCGCCCCTGCCACACTGTCAGCGCCCATCACCCTTACCACCTCCCTTGACGCTGAGCTTCCGGCAGGTCCTTCTCAGCACCTTGTCCTGCCAGCCACGCGGAGCTGCCGGCCTGTATTCACTGACGCCTGGTGGCTCCCCTCGGCCTTGATTTCCCTCAGCGGTTAAGGGAAGCCAGCTTTGGAGGCATTTGGGGAACAGGGTGGGCCGGGTTGGGCTTCAACTCGGGGCCCAAGCCTGGAGGAAGCGCCTGCATGGGAAGGGGACGTGTGAACCCCAGTTCCTAGAGAAGTGGATGGGATGCCCCATGCCGCCTGTGACAGCCTCAGGGCTCTCCAAGGCCTCTGTAGTTAGCCCGGGATGTGTCTGAAGATCTTCTGGCGGGGGACAGGGGTTGGGCGGGGGACTCTGGGACCGGAGGCCCCGTCGGGAACCATGACTCGCCTGCCCCTCCTCTCGCTCTAGGTGCCACAGTGGTCACCCAGGTGGGCTGCAGGGTGGGCCTCTGACCCCTTCTGCCTGTCCTGCACTGTCTGGGCCTGCTGAGGACGGCAGAGCTGGGGCCCGTCCAGCACCAACCCACCCCGATTCCGTGACGGCAGCCCCGGGTGGAGAAAGGAGCCCTGCTGGGCATGGGGGCGACTTTCCTGCCCCTGTTTGGATGCTTCTGAATATAAATAAAGTGGGTTTTCCCTGGACACACTCAGCAGCCTGTCCCACCACTAGCTGCCTCCCCGCACCCCCCACCCCTGACACAGATCACGGCCTCAGGCGGCTCCCCAAACTCCCTTCACTCCCTTGGACACCCCTTCTGGGCTCCTCACCTCCTGCCCCTGGCACTTACCCTCCATATGTTAATGACTGTTGGAATAAGCAGGCCTCAGGCCCCACCTGAGACTGTACCCCTAACTATTCCTCAAGCTCAGCATCTTCCAGAGGGCGGTCTGCCTTTTCTTTTGTAAGTTTTCTTTTATTTTAGAGAAAAGAAATTTCAAACTCTCCTGAAGCTGCAGCCAGCCCTGGTGCTGCCCTGCTGCCCTGGCTGGTTGAACCCAGGGCAGGCGTTGCCAGCCACCTCAGAAGTGCTGGGTGGGGCATGTCCTAAGGCCTGGGGGCTCCTTTCACTGTCGTAGGTGGGTCGCTGAGGCTGGAGGCTGCAGGAGCAAGATCAGCTGTTTTGTGACTTATGCAGGCCTGTGGGGACAAGGTCAGAGCACCTGGGGACACAGGGCTGGGGTGACCACTGGGGGCTGCTATCCCCTCCCCTTGAGAACCTGAAATGGAAAAGTCCAAGCAGTGGGTGGCTTTAGGCCTTTGGCAGAAAGGAGGTGGGTGGGGCTGAGGCTCCCCACCCATGCCTCTCCCTGTGGGGGGCATGCTGGCGTCTTGCGCTGACATCTCAGTGGGGTCTGGGCTGTGAGGCTGGGAGTGGGGTGGGGGCTCTCACAGGCTCCTCAGCCCAGGGAAATCCCTGAGGTCCACCTGGTGTGTTGTATCCTGCCCAGCCCAGGCGTGTGCCCGAGTCCCCCGCTCAGGACCTGCCTGTGACCCCAGCCCTGCCAGGCCTTTATTCCCCAGTGAGCTGGGCTCCTGCTCACTCACACAGCCCCTGCCATGACAGCCCTCAGTTTTAGGACAGAAGGGCCGAGGGCTACCCAGGGGCATGGCATCAGGTGTCTCTGGGGGCCCGGGTAGCCCAGGGGAGGTGCAACCGCCTATTCTGAGCCCCAAACTGGGATTGTGTACAGGGCGGGCTGTCTGGCAAAAGGTACTTCAGAGGAGGCAGCTGGGAGGCCTGGCACCCCACCCCAAGGTCTGGGGTTTGCAGAGCTGTGGATGCTGCCTTTTAAGAAAGAAGTCTGTTTCTGCCAGATAGGAAATCAGTGTCCCCAGCCGCCCACCACGGAGAGACTGCTGCAGCACCCCCATGCTGCCTGCTCTTCAGACCCGCTTTGCGCTCCACGTTCAGAGCCAACTCCTGGACCCAGCCCCCTCCCACAATCTCCATCTCTGCTGTGCTCTGAGCTTCTGGGCTGGGACTGGGCCCTAGGCCTCTGTACCCCCAGTACCACCCCAGAGCCTGGCATGAAGCAGAACTTAGAGGAGTGGGGGTGGATGGACGGAGGGAGGGAGGGATGGATGGATGGATGGATGGACGGAGGGAGGGAGGGATGGATGGAGGGATGGAGGGATGGATAGATGGATGGGTGGATGGATGGAGGGAGGGATGGATGGATGGACAGATGGATGGAGGGATGGAGGGAGAGATGGAGGGATGGATTGATGGATGAATGGACGGAGGGATCGATGGATGGATGGACAAATGGATGGATGGTCAGATGGATGGAGGGATGGATGGATGGATGGAGGGAGGGAGGGATGGATGGTTGGATGGGTGGATGGACAGAGGGATGGATGGAGGGATGGTTGGATGGATGGAGGGAGGGAGGGAGGGATGGATGGATGGTTGGATGGACGGAGGGAGGGATGGATGGTTGGATGGATGGAGGGAGGGATGGATGGATGGTTGGATGGGTGGATGGACAGAGGGATGGATGAATGGATGGATGGATGGATGGAAGGATGGATGGATGGATGGATGGAGGGAGGGATGGATGGATGGTTGGATGGATGGATGGATGGATGGAAGGATGGATGGATGGATGGATGGATGGAGGGAGGGAGGGATGGATGGATGGTTGGATGGGTGGATGGACAGAGGGATGGGTGGATGGATGGATGGATGGATGGAAGGATGGATGGATGGATGGATGGATGGATGGATGGATGCATGGATGGATGGATGGCAGCACAGACAGGCAGGTCCCTAGTGAGGCCCCCAAAGAAGGCAGCCTCTCGCTGTGAGCACCAGATTGGCCAGGCTGGCCACAGAGCAAATTCTGCCGGCCACACTTACAAGTACGCCTGCTTGGACAAGAGGCTGGATGGCTTTTCACTGACATGGTAGAGAGGAAATGGATCAAATTCACCAATGAAACCAACTGAAAGAAATCAAGACCCAAATAAAACAAACCCCACACAATGGAAAAGATGGCAGAGTGGAGCACGAGCCCAATCAGACAGTGAGGCCATGGGGTCCCTGGGGGCACAGATGGCGCCCGAAGCCCCGACGAAATCGCAGAGGGGACACGGCCTGGGGACGGGGGGTAGGATGGCCGGGGTCCTCCGGCCTGTGCGGGCCTGCACCATGTTCCGCCCGCCCTCCCCACCACCCTCTGTCACGTTCAGACACTGTCACTTCCTTGATGCTGTGTCTACACAGCCAGCATGTGGCAGGGGCTCGCTGGGCTATTGAACCCCGGGTTCACATGGGGTTCCCATCTTAAAATGTTTTAATGGAATCAGTGTGCAGAAGCCATCTGCTTCCTCCCAGGAAGCTGGCTGAGCTCTGAGTGATGGTTTAGGATCCGCAGCTCAGCGGCTGAGGGATGCTGGGCGATGGGGCCGTGGCTCTGAGGGCGTCCTCAGCCTCTGGAATCAGGCCTGGCCTGAGGGTAGGGGGCCCTCTGACACGTGGACTGCTGACCCCATGGCCTTAGAGTCCTGGGGACAGATGGCTCTGAACTGGATTCTGACCCCAGGGGCCGTTCACTCCACAGGAACCATGGGCCCCTGGGCACACCCAGACCCTCCTTGGCATCTGCCCTTCCCCACCCGGCTCAATCCTCCTCCACAGGGTCTTCCGGCGAGATGCATCAGGATGGGGGAGCAGCAAGGGCGCCTGAGTGGGGCCCATTTCGTGCTGCAGATCAAAGGCAAGTTGACAGGGGCTTGCGAGCAGAAGGCAAGTGGAAATCTTGCCTGGGGTGGGGGGTGGGGGTCCAGGCTGCAGCCGAGGGCCTGCTGTGAATGTCCCAGCCCGCGGGGCTGGGTTCTGAGCTGCCTGGGGCTGCGGCGGCCGGACCTCGGTGGTCTGAGCTCAGGCCCCCCACCTGTGGCTGCTGAGGGATGGTGAGGGCAGGCCCGGCCCGAAGCCCAGGAGCCACCTTGGACTTAGAGGCAGCCGCCCAGGGCCTCTGCTCATCTCTTCCCTGGGGTGCAGCAGGTCCCCTCCCACTCAGGCCTGCAGCCATCAGCAAGGCTCTGCCGGACGTGGGGTTTCACCCCCGGGGAGGTCTCTCTCCCTGCCCCAGACAGGACAGACCCAGAGCTGCCCCCGCTGCCGCTGAGCCCACGCCCGCCCCGCTGCCTACAGACGTCCCTACTCACAGCTGTCCTCTTCCTCCGAGAACATATGACAGGCAGCGGCGCAGACACCGTCCTGGCCGAAGGCCCACCCTGAAGCTCTCCGCCCTCCCTGCTGCATGGAAGCCCCACCCCCAGAGCGCTCTTGCCACCATTTCCCTCCCCAGCACAGCTGGGCAGGGGCCAAGCAAGCCGCCAGGCTCCCCCAGGCCCTCCGAAGCAAGCGGGGGCTGGGCTCCTAGGGAGGACTAGCTGGCTGGAATTTAGAAACCACATCCTATTAAAGAAATTCGCATCCCTGGGAGTCAGGATGAAAGCCAGCAGGAGGCCCCGTCTCCCCAGACATGCAGACCGCTCACTCCTCCAGCCTCCGCCCCCACGGAGCACGCCAGGCCTCTCTGAGGGAACCTTCACTTACCTCTGGTTTCCTTTCTGTTCCTTCTCACAAACCCTATCTCAGAAGCTTTGATGTGCATCCTTGGGAAATGGGCTCTTTCCCCTTCAGAGGCAGGCGCCGGGGTTCCACACACTTTGGGGGCAAGGCGGCCCCCTCTGTGCCTAACTGAGTGGCTCTGGTGGGAGACACAGGCCCGGACTCTAGCTGGCAGGGCACATCTGTGCCCTTGCTATGGGGCAGCACCTCCCTGGCCTGATTTCCTGTGGGACCCAGAGCAAAGCCTAGGAAGG